TGCCCTTGGGGGCGCTCGCCGCCGCCACCCTCCTCCGGGGGGTCGCGGGCCCCAGGCAGGCGAGTGGGGATGGGGTACGCTGGGGGCCGCTCCCCGAAACTGGGCTCAGGGGAGGAAGGCGAATACGGCTGATCTGGCGTTCCCGCTCGCCTTTTGCCCTCCTTACCCCGTCCCTTTTCCTACATTAAGGAGGAGGAAGGGGGAGCCCAACGCTGAACGTGGCGCTTTGCTTCACCTAGGCTGGTCCCCGAATGGTTTTCTAATTTACGTCAGTGGGTAGCTCGCCAGAAACTTCTGGGATCACGGCATAGCATCCGTCTTCTTCGCTGGTAGCACTCGGAAGTGACAGGGGGCGTGCGGTCCATTTTGGGGGGTTAGCAGAGATAAGACTTACGTGATCATTTCACAATAAACCTTCTGGGGTTTCTCCAGGACTGACTTGACTTTTCAACCCCAGATCATTTTCTCTTTGACTAGGTAGATTTTGACCCTAGATCATCTCCTGGAGAAACTTGATATCCCACTTAAAGGCATACCCTAAACAAAAGCGTCCTTCCCACACAGGGCCAAAAATTCCAAGGGCTAAAATGGGGGAAGAGCTCTTTAAAGAGCTCCAAGTTTTTTTCCCCTCCTGTTTCTTCTGTATTCATAACACTCCTGTCTCCTTCTCATACGGGAGTATTCCAACAGAACTGTTCCCAGACATAAATAAACGCACCGTACTGGGTGAGGGAAATTGGGGACCCTCGTATAGATTGAATTAATCATGTTGATTAAATCGTAAATGTAGTCATACATTGCTGAATTTAACACGCTTTTTAAAAATAACAAATTTCCTAAGATGTAATTCACATGCCATACAATCAATCCATTTAAAGTTAATTAACATTTTTTAGAAAGAGCTAAAAAGTTTCCTCTATTCTCTACCAGTTATCCTTGTGCAAGTACCTTCCCTTATGTCTTAAAGGAACCCCATTTTCTCTAGACTTGGCCAGTTCATTTCCTTTATCTTAATTTCAGTCTATAGAAGAGCAGGGCCCTTTCCACAGGTCAGTCTCTAGCAAACCTTCTGGTTCTAGGCATTGATTTCCACTTTTCTAGGCCTGAGTACTCCATCAGTACTTTCTGGGTTCCAGCCATCTTTTCCCCTTACTCCTCCTCCTTTCCCTCACACTTCCTCTAGCTGAGTCCTTTCTGTTTCCTTTTTATCTACTCCTGTCCTTGTTCCTAGTCTTTCCAGCAGGCTTTTCTTCCTGCCCCTCCAGTTTAGTTCATACAGTGTTAGCTTTTCTTATTTGTTCCCTAAACATGGAGTTTTGGTTAAAAGCCTTATTAGCTATTCACCTTCAATTATGAGTACAACTTATGCTAACAGAAAGTTCCTTCTGTTTGCTTCAGATAAGAAAGCTCCCTCTAGGAGTTGTAAATACACCTTAACATGTTAAAGCTAATTAAATTTTGTTCTGGGAAGTCCTTCAATAATCTTCCCCAATTTAAAACTAAAGTGTCATGTTTACATTTTAATTATCGTTGTCCTTCTTTAGCAGTTAACACCTGAGGGGAGGAGCATGTAGTATTTTGAGGCTAATGCTATCTTTGCCTAATGTTTCAGATAATGTGGTGGGAGGCCAGACTCTGGGATGGTAATAAGATTACTTTGATGCATTTTATTGTAGTTCTTATATCTTGTCTGGATTGTTTAAAGCCCTTGAAAGTGGTGATTAAAATGATAGATTGTTCCATAGAAAAAGAGGTCAGATTTGTGGTTACCAGGGCTACGGTGGGGTAGGGATTTGGATGAAGGCAGTCAAAATGTGCAAACTTCCAGTTTTAAGATAAGCAACTACTAGAGTTGTAATGTATAAAGTACATTATGATAACTGTAATTAATACTGCTGCATGTTATATATGAATGTTAGAAGAATAAATTCTTAGAGTTCTTATCACAAGAAAAACTTTTTGTTTCTTTAATTTTTCTATCTATATGAGATCATGGATGTGACTAAATTTATTGTGGTTATCATTTTGTGATGTATATAAACCAAATCATTATGCTGTACACCTTAAACTTATATAGTGCCATTTGTCAATTATGTCAATAAAACTGGAAGAAAAACCATTTTTTAAAATGACAGATTTTTCATAGTTCATTGTTTTCATTTTCTAATTGTTCGGGCAGGCTCACATGTCTTCTGACACACACTATTTGATAGAATTAACTTTGACCTAGGGCAAAAATAATATTTGCATGATTCCTATGGCCTTATAAAATGCTATTTGTTAAGGCTACATCATTGCTTTTTCGTTCTAATAGCTGGCCCCTTTTCTAGGATACAATGAGGGCAACAGATATTAAGAATAAACCAGAGAAAACCAGGAAGGAGAAAAGGTACTCTGCCGGGGAAGTGAGAGTGTGACAGCAACAAGTGAGAGGATGGTTTTTTGATGTTTTAAAACATAAAAACATTTTAACATAAAAAGTAATTTCTTT